AATCAAGTGTTGCACTTGCACGATCCAAAAACAAAACCCATGTTGTTGTTGTCCATAATTTGTCACGACTGTTTATATTTAATTTCCAACCACAAAAGCTTCAAAACTTTTTTGCAAGTTTTTTAATTAAGTAAGCTTTTTGTTCTAGAATAATAACAGAGAGCATTTTGTAAAAGTTTTGGATTACCGAAGTATATTCGACTAGATGCAAAGTTCTATTCTGTCATTTGAACTTTTTGGTAAACAATAAAAGACAACCACTACACTTTGTGCTTAATCACATTTTTCGAAGGATCTAACTTTGTGTTCCAAGGCCTTATAAACATTTAATACGACCCAACAAAGAACAATCCAAAATTTAGGCCCATAATCACATACCGTGTAAAGCTACTTTATAAAAATCATGTAATATTCATGTAGTGGACTCACATTAAATGTATGAATTAATTTCATATGTTTTGTTCTTTAATTTGACGTACGAATAACAAAAAAGAAGAAATGACGTAAAAGAGAGAGTAAAGAATAAATAAATAAAAACGAAGCCACCATCGCGTCTTCCTCAGTTGACCTCTCCAAAATGCGAGACCTTCTTCGCGCCTATTTCTCTCGGAGAACTCTCGTATCTCTCTACAATCTCTTCATAACCCTCTCTCTTAAGCTCCTCACTTCGTTCCCTCTCTCTCTCCTCAAGCCCAAATCCAACGACGGTGATGGCGTCGCAGAATCCGAGGCCGTTCCGTTGCTCGATCTGTCTAAACCGTCGTTACCTATATCATTCCCGATTAAAGCTCTTCAAGACCTGAAATCTCGTTCTTACTTCGATTCCTTTCATTTCCAGTTTAATCGCTCCACCGTTCCTCTCCGGCGAAACTCCGATGATTCACCGAATCGTCCAAGGGTTTTGGTCTGCCACGATATGAAAGGAGGGTACGTAGACGATAAGTGGGTACAAGGGTGTGAAAACGAAGCTGGATTCGCGATTTGGCATTGGTACTTGATGGACATTTTTGTTTACTTCTCTCATTCTCTGGTCACTCTTCCTCCTCCTTGCTGGACCAATACTGCTCATAGACATGGCGTTAAGGTAAATGCTCTTCAACATCTGAGTCTCTTGCTACATGTAATGCCAAAATTTGATTTCAATTCACAGAGATCCTCACATTTTCTTAGATAAGAGGCATTGTAGTGGATAAATTGGTTGATTAGGAAGTGGAAATTAGATATTTTTTGACTTGGGTTTTGTATATTGGTGAAGATTTTATGGGTTAAGGTGTTTACTTTCTTGTGTTTATGGGAAATTTGAAGGTATTGGGGACTTTCATCACAGAATGGGATGAAGGAAAAGCTACCTGCAAAGAGATGTTTGCTACAAAGGAGTCTGCTCAGATGTATGCAGAGCGTTTGACAGAACTTGCTACTGCTTTAGGTTTTGATGGGTGGCTGGTGAGTTTTGTTGTGGTTGTTCATCTTCATTTGTCCATGTGAATGATTGTAACATGTATGCATATGAAACATACTAGTCAAGTGGGGTGAAGAAAGGGGTATATCTAAAATGTGAACCTTTTTTACTTGCAGATAAATATAGAGAACGAAATAGATGAAGAACAGATTCCGAATTTAATGGAATTTGTAAGCCATCTAACAAAAGTCTTGCATTTATCTACACCTGGGGCTTTGGTTATATGGTGAGTCGTTCAGAAGTTTTTGTGAAATCATTTGTTCTTTTTGTAAATCACTTTGATCTGATAACTTCGTTTTCTGTAGGTACGACAGTGTCACCGTTCGTGGTGATCTTAAATGGCAAGATCGGTTGACTGAGAACAACAAACCTTTCTTTGACTTATGCGATGGAATATTCATGAACTACACATGGAAGGTCTGCCTTTCGGTTTGATCAATCTCTTCAGTCTGAGTTTCTTCTATATGTCTTGTCTTTGATATGTGTGGGTGATGATATTTAAGGAGGGCTACCCCAAACTATCAGCTGAAGTTGCCGGGGACAGAAAATATGATGTCTATATGGGAATTGATGTCTTCGGTCGGGGCTCCTTTGGTGGTGGACAATGGACTGTATGTCTCAGAAGCTCTTGAGAAAACCAATAGTTTGGCATAAATTTTCTTCATTGTCTCACTAATTTACATGCTAGGTAAATGCTGCTCTTGATTTGCTGAAAAGAAACAATGTATCAGCTGCCATTTTCGCTCCTGGATGGATATATGAGACTGCACAACCACCCAATTTTCATACAGCTCAGAACAAGTAATACCTCTTTTCCCCGTATGCTAATATGTCGTTTGATTTTAAATCTTTGTTGTTTAAGGAAATGCTGGAATTAATTTTCATTCATGTGTTTTCTCTTTAGATGGTGGTCACTTGTCGAGAAGTCATGGGGAATAGTCCAAGCTTATCCACAAGTCTTGCCTTTTTACTCGGATTTCAATGAGGTAAGGTGAGATTGATCAAGACTTAGTTCTTATCTTGTAACACTAAAACCACGGTAAAGTATGCACTGATTGTCCTGGTTATGATTATGTTCAGCTATGTTCTGAAACTCTCTCCTCTCTTTTACTCAGGGCTTTGGTTACCATGTTTCACTCGAAGGTCGCCAATTGTCAGATGCTCCATGGTACAACATTTCTTGCCAAAGTCTTCAGGTTCAACCATCCTATTATCCTCGACTTTACTGCCTAATTACTTAACTTCTTGATCTGGGTTTGTCTCTCCTTTCCTCTCCTATCATCTGATCATTGTCGTTGTTGTGTTCTTCACGCCAGCCTCTCCTAGTATTCAATGAAGACAACGAAGATATCATCCATGTCACTGTTGAGTGAGTGCTGTCCATAATACTATCCTCATATTTATATCGGCATGGGAAAAATTTGTTTAGCATCTTGTTGATTAGCATACATTTCTGAGCGAACGTTTAAACGACAAGTATCATGAATTTGTTAGTGCTCAAGACGCATCTTATAACGGAGGAGGGAACATCTCGTTTAGAGGAAGACTCGAGGGAGATACGTGTTTCACAACAAGGCTCTTCAAACCCCATCTTCAGCTTTCTTCTTCCCCCATCACAATCTCCTACTCTGTAAGTCTCTCTGCTTCTGGATACATCACTTTATGAGATCTTCTTATTTGTTTACTAATGGAGGGTTTTGGAGTTGGTGCAGGTGAAATCAGATGAAACATCTAAACTTGGAATTATGCTTTCTTTCTCATCTCCATCACACGAGACTAAATCCATACTCGTGGCGCCACAGGAACCCATCCGCAAATCCAATGACATGTTCTTGCATTGTCTCGCCACATCATTGCGGACTGTATCCGAGTGGATGGTACACGAGACAAGCCTTGTCATGGATGGCCACACACTGACTGAAATCTCTGCCTTTTGCTACAGACCAGAGAACTCGACAAAGAGACCAGAATATGTTGCATTGCTCGGCCACATCTCAATTAAAGATCAAGTTCAGCTCCAACAAAAACCCGAGTCATTACCTCCAGCGTCACCATGGGTCATCGAAGCTCGTAACGTAGAGCTTGTACCTGGTAATTCCGGTTCCAAGATCCTCAGGGTTAAGCTAGAATGGAAAAAGAAACACCTTGAAGAATCTGTGTTCTCAACAAGGTACAATGTATATGCAGAGTTTGTGAAGTCGACTGATCTAAGAGCAAGAAAGGTTCTAGAGAAACCAAGAAGCGAGATAGAGTTCATCGGAACCGCTCACGTACCAGAGTATTACGTATCGGAACTAGTGGTGGAATCGGACGTGAAAGGAGTCAGCTTCATTGTTCAAGCCTGTGATGAAGATGGTTCATGGAGGAAGCTGGATGATTCCCCTAACCTTCTAGTGGAACTGGAAGGTCTCTAGTATAAAGTACAAACATTTGTCTTTGTATATTGAAAATTTATATTATTAAATTAATATAAGAATAATACACGACTCTTCGACCAAAAAAAAAAAGAATAATACACGACTCAAGGCGTGTTCTAGAGACACCACGCGTATGCCACAAGCCATTTCTCAACTTTCCACGTGTCAAACGAAATGTAAGCCACGTCATTTCATCCCTGACCCATCGTCGTCTCTTAAACCTCTCTCTTCTTTACCCATTCGCCGTTCGGTCACTCCGACGTATACACAGAATCTCTTTCCTTTATTGCTTTCTCTCTCTAGAACTTGAAAATCAATGTTGCTCAAGGCTTCTCCCGCGCTTTCTCTCTTGAGCTCCGGCTCCGGCGGTGGCGGCGGAGATCTGTTTTCTCCGTCGAGAAATTCGTCGAATCTTCTGTTTTCTTCGAGCGCGCGTCGTGGATCTAGGTTTTCCGTTCGGGCGGCGAAAGGAACGAGCACGAAGTCGTTAACCGGAGTTGTGTTCGAGCCTTTTGAGGAAGTGAAGAAAGAAATGGATCTCGTTCCCACTACCCCTCTGGTTTCTCTCGCTCGCCAAAAGTTCTCCGAAGATTCTGAATCTGCGATCAACGATCAGATCAAGTAAGTGCTCTTGGTTATATTTTTGGGTTAATCTGTCTCTAAATTTCGAATTTCTTAACCAATAACAATCCCAAATCGAAATCTAAAGTAACATTTCATTGATTGCATTTCACAAATCGAGTTAGCTTTGGTTGGGTATATTGGTTAATACGTGATGATGATGTGTTTTGAATCTAAGCATATATTGTTTGCTTTTGGGAATCACAGTGTGGAGTACAATGTCTCCTACATTTACCATGCCCTGTATGCTTACTTCGACAGAGACAATGTTGGTTTGAAAGGTTTCGCTAAGTAAGTGTTTGAATTTGAGTCTCAGGATCCGTTCTGTGGGTGAATCATGTATCATTTTGTTGATATTGTTGTGTGGTTTCACTTTTAGGTTCTTTAACGATTTGAGTTTTGAAGAACGAGGTCATGCTGAGAAGTTTATGGAGTACCAGGTATAGCTAACTTCAAAGATTTATGAGGTCATGGACCTTTAATAGTGTTTCTTATGTTTGATGTATTCGATCTGCAGAACAAGCGTGGTGGGAGAGTGAAGCTGCAGTCTATTTTGATGCCCTTCTCTGAGTTTGATCACGAAGAGAAGGGAGATGCATTATATGGTAAGTTAACTAAATCTCATCCAGCTTTATTGTAGCAGCAGTTTTATAATCATGAGTGTTTGTATAGATCTTAGTAACCATTATGGTCTTGATGATTCTGAATGTTTTATGGATCAGCAATGGAGCTTGCGCTATCTTTGGAGAAACTTACTAATGAAAAGCTTCTCAAGTTACAAAGTGTAAAGACCTTATCTTTTTTCATCATTACAGAATACACTTCGAGGGTAAATAGATGATGAATCTATCTCACCTGTGTTTGATCCTACAGGTGGGTGTGAAGAACAACGATGTTCAGCTGGTTGATTTTGTCGAGTCCGAGTTTCTAGGCGAGCAGGTAAATAGAAAGAAACACAAGTTTTCACATTAACATTACTTCAAAAGTACGCGCGTCTCATAAAAATCGGTAAAAACAGGTGGAAGCTATCAAGAAAATCTCAGAGTACGTTGCACAGCTAAGAAGAATAGGAAAGGGTCACGGTAAGTCCTCAAAAAACCCTAAGAGACAATTCCTTAGAACTGCGATAGCTGTTTCGATTTGGGTTTATGATTACATTACCGTCTGGTGTGGAACCTGCAGGAGTTTGGCATTTTGATCAAATGCTTCTGGATGAGGTTTGAGGAAGAAAGTAGCAGCTTCTGATGACTATGATTTGGTGATAAATCTTTCCGTATGTCATAGGGCAATGTTCTATCTTTATAACGACGTCTCTTTAGTGTTTTCTTTTATTTCTTTTGGTTGTTTTGTTCAGAATGTTTGTGACTTAATAATGTAAGTCGTAGTCGTAGTCTGAGAATAAATGCAAGTCCATTGTGTGTGTCAGTGCGACTATGACTGGTTTCAGTGACTGTAAAAAATTACTCCGGATAGTCTGATTTTAATAAAAGATCGGTTTGATTTTGGTTCATATGCCATAATGACATGTGCCATAAAAAGATTGGATAATTTTGGGGGTCTATCAGAGTCTACTACGTGTCGTTTTTGACACCGAAACGGCATAGCGTTGGAAGAAAGTTCCTCTCTTTAAGAAACCTCTAAAAGACTAAAACAGAGCAAAACCGGAGAAAACGAAACGACAACAAAGCTTTCTTCAATGGAAAATGGTTCAACTTCCTCACCGAGAACTCCACTCTTTTTCCAGCCTCTTCTTCCAGGATTCCACAGCCATATCGTAA